GTCCACAAAAAGCTCTGAACTGAAGAGCGAAGCTACAGTCGTTAGTTGTTAAAAATTAAACTAAAAGAGTTGCTCTGAATTGGTTCCTTCTCTGTTAATATGTCGAATCCAATTCTTTTAATTGTCTAACAGCTCAAAAAATTCTTTAGGGACTACCATTGGAAAAATTGAAAGAGATCAGAAAAACTAGATTAAATCCCGCGTTGTCTACCTATTACAGTACCCCTTTAGCTCTAAGCCATGGATATAAACAATGGCTGTTTGACATTGATGGTAAACAATATTTGGATATGTTTGGAGGTATTTGTACAGTATCAGTTGGGCACGCTCATCCGTAAGTATTAATCAGAAAAATTGGGTTTTAATTTAATTTAATTAAGGTCACAGCCCATTTTCTTTGCTATTTTGATTTTGTATGAAATTTTAAATGCATTCCAATATAAATTTAGAAGTATTTACTAATTGTCATGTAAAACAGATTGTAAATAAATATTGGAGTTAATAAAAAAAAAAATTCCATACAGGGTGTAACAGAAATAAATGCTGAGTTTTGGAGGGTGTAAGGTAGATGTAATAAACAATCCCACGGTGAGTTCAGCAATGTGGTTGAGACCAGAAAACATTTTAAGGAAATCAGAATTATTTACAGTCCTAAGCCGGTCCTGTGCATGAATTATCAACGCAGGTGTCTACTGAATAGTCAGGCTCGACAAAAACTGCATTTACATCGATGGAGAATGTAAACAGTGCCGATTATCGAACGTTTAAGATAAACATAAAGAATTTGCTACTATACATAATGTTTAGGTGCCTATTACCATAAATATAATAAATACGTATAATAAATACATTTGGCTGATAGTACGATGCACTGTGTAAATTAGATCTCAACATGTATTAAAACAATACCCCTCTCATTCCATTAGAAAAAACTAGTTATTTACTGATTTTTTTCTTGTCATTAAACTTATCGCTTAGGACAGGGATGGCGAACCTTTTTTGATGTCCGTGCCACAAAGTCATAAAAATTCTTTTTAAATTGGTAACGTGCCACAATAAAATTTCATTCGAAATGTTAGCGTGGTGAAACTACACGTAAGTATAATTAAATAAACAAATAAAAGCAATTCTTCTTTAAACAATTTTTTATTAATCAATGTTTTACAAAAAGCAATATGCTAGAAACAAANTTCTGCAAGCGACGCACTTATTGGTGTTACATCCTGTATATGCAGTTATATAAATATTAGCTTGATTAAAATTTTTTAAATGATATTTTTGATCATATCATTAATTTTTTATACAAGAGTGTGCTATCCCGAATACGTTCAGCCTCTGTCGACGGCCATCAAGCATGAATAAACCTCGGCTGATGTTGCTAAATGAATACCAACTCATGCCCAAATCATTATCAAAAATTGAATAGGAGGAGCCAATTGATATGTTTAGGTCCTCAGCAACTTCCTATTGGTGATTTGACGATTGACCAATACTATTTTATTCACTTCATTAATGTTTTTGTCTGTTGTTGATGTGCTCGGGCGTCCGCAATGCACTTCGTCGTTTACATTTTTTCGGCCTTCTGAGAACATTTTGTACTACCGATAAACGTTGCGTCGGTCCAAGGTAGCTTCACCATATACCACAGTCAACATTCGGAATGCGTCAGTGCACTTAAGTTTATTTTTTACGCATAATTTGATACAGATTCTTTGATCCATTCTTCGCAATAGGCAAAAATTGAAGACGAGTCTAAACACGTGTAAGTAAAGCAACTGTCAAAAATTAACTGAACATGATCGAACTTGTCGAAGGGAGAGACGTAAGTACTAACATAGCACCACAAAAAAAATCGAAAATCGAATATATGTTACCCGCGGAAATTTAAAATTCGCTATACTTGTTGAACAGACCTCAACAGAGCAGAAAGACCAATATCGTTAATCGCTAGGAAGGGGTTCTGAGGTACATTCAGTATAATATACAAATATAATAAACACGTACGGTATAATCACATACGTATGAGCAAGTTCAGCGTAATTAAATAATTCAATTAATCATTTTCGCAAATAACAATGTCTAATTTATTATACAATGAGGCTAACTTTCGTTGACTCACCGATTGACTGCATCAGGACTACAATACAAACACATTGTTATTGCTATAACGTCCATCAGATGCTAAAAAGTACCCTTTCATTTTAAAACGAATTAAGATCTTCGTCCGAATATTAATTATTTATTAATGTATTATAAGCAACGACGTGGGCAAAAAAAATTGAGAAAAATTGTCTTAAAATTATTTATTTATTTAGTAATATTCCCAGCAATCGTAATAATTTTAATTCAAGATTGTAATGTTTATTTTTTTTGTTTTAATGAAAATAGAAAGGTAGATTAATAATTTTTAATTCATTTCTATCAAAAAAAATAATTTTGTTTTTGTGCGTGGCATCAAAATTTTCAAACGTGCCACTTGTGGAACGCGTGCCATTGGTTCGCCATCCCTGGCTTAGGACATAGATAGTAGGTAGATTGCAAGTGTCTCGCAAACTCTGTACCGCATTTGAGATGGTTCGTGGGTTTGGAAGTCTTCGCTGAGGATGGCGTGGCTGTACGATTTAGTTGCTGCATTAATATTATATTTACATTCACCCTTTATAAGGATCATATCACACAGTTCTGTCGTACTTAACGCCTGTCTAATAATGACACACTGACCTACTGCCAGTGACCCATTGACAAAGTTAAAAGAACAAACAACTACGACAGGCTGGCTATAGTATACACAATCACACTTAATACGAGGGTGGATTGATAAGTTTCCGGCCTAACCAAGAGATGACGCCACTAGGCCTACCTTGAGGTGACATTCTATAGTACCATCCTTGGATAGCTTGTAGCTATAGTTTCAGCCCGATCTCCTTGCTAGTGTAGGTTTGAC